TGTGGCGGATCAGCGGGTGGTGGAAAGCAGGGATGTGGTTTTCCACGAGGGGCTGAGCTATAAGGGGTGGAAGGAGCATGGTGCTAGTACAGTTGGGAGCTCCCTTCAGGATCCCTACACCTCTTCCATCTTTGAGGGGGCATGGGAGGACCCTAGAGAGGAGGTAGAGGAGCAGCAAGAGGAACAAAAGGCAGCTGCACCTCACCATGAGGAGTCACCAACTGCTGGTTCTACCCCTGACCCTAACGCACCAGCCCATGACCCGGAGCAGCCACAGGAGCAGCAGCAGCAACAAGAGAAGCCGCAGCAGCCACCACACGAGCATACACCGCCTGTTCCTGTGGGTAGGTGGCAGCAGCTACTGCAGCAGCAGCTGTCCAAGTCACCACGGTCCCCCATGAAGAGAGTGACTTGGAAAGAGAAGCTGCAAAGTTTGGAGCAGGGGGAGGCTTCACCTCTGCGCCGCACCACACGCATCTCTCGGCCACCTGAAAGGTTCACACCAAGTGCACAGTATGCTTGCATGCATGATCATGAGGTGCATGACTTGGAGGAGTGCATGTTTGTGGATGCTGAGGGGGGTGAGCTTGGGCTTGATTTCTGTCTCATGGGTCAAGTGCATGAGCCTAAGTCGGTCAAGGAGGCCTTGTCCCGTCCTGGGTGGGTCGAGTCCATGCGTGAGGAGCTTGAGTCTCATAGGGTGAACGAGTCTTTTGAGCTGGTTGATCCAGCTTGTGTGCCACCTGGAATGGAGGTCTTGAGGTGTCAGTGGGTGTGGAAGTATAAGCACATGGCTGATGGGAGTATTGAGAGGCCTAAGTCCAGGCTGGTGGCCATGGGGAACACTCAAACACGAGGCGTTCACTATGACCAGGTATATACCCCGATGGGTAAACCTACCACCCTGAGAGGTTCCCTTGGGATGGCAGCAACTTCGGGGTTTCACATCCATCACATGGATGTGACCACTGCTTATCTTCATGGGGTCTTGAAAGAGGAGCTGTACATGAGGCAGCCCCCTGGTTTTGATGATGGGTCCGGCAGAGTTTGCCGACTCAGGAAATCAATCTATGGGCCAAAGCAAGCAACAAGGTAGTGGTACCTCAAGTTTGATGAGACGCTGATGGATTTTGGGTTTGAGAGGTCAGAGTGTGACCCCGCCTTGTACCACTTGGTGAGGCGTGAGGGCAGGCTGTCCCTCTACCTCTATGTGGATGACATCCTGCTCATGTCTTCGAGCATGGTCTTGCTGGACGAGGTGAAGGGTCTCTTGTCCTCTCGTTTCCGCATGAAGGACTTGGGGGAGGCTAAGTACTATTTTGGGGTGCAGATTGAGCGTGATGAGAGTGGCATCTTGATTCATCAGGAGAGGTACATTCTCAACATGCTTGAGTCCTTTCGCCTCTCTGAGGCTAACCCCGTGCGTACCCCTCTCCCCACAGGGTTCGACGTGCATGCACATGCTGAGGAGCTCTTGCTGCGAGATGAGCTGGTCCAGCTCTATCAAAGCATTGTGGGGTCTCTCATGTATGCAAGCACGACCACACAGCCCCATATTGCTTATGCAGTGTCACAGCTGTCCAAGGTGGTGTCTTGTCCCAAGGCATTTCACCTGCAGGCTGCTAAGATAGTGCTAAGGTACCTGAAAGGTTGTGTCAAGTCTGGTATCTTCTACCCCGCACACAGCAAGCCTCAGGTTGAGTTGGTGGGCTTTAGTGATGCTGATTATGCTGGAGATTCAGCTAATCGCAAGAGTCACACCGGCTATGTCTATTGCCTTAATGGTGCAGCCATCTCTTGGCAGAGCAAGAGGCAGCCGGTGGTTGCATTGTCCACCACTGAGAGTGAGTACATCAGTCTGTGTTAGTGCATTCAGGAGGGTGTGTGGCTGAAGCGTTTTTTTGGGGAGTTTGGGCATGAGTTTGCTGGTGGTGTGCCTATGTTTGTGGACAACCAGTCTGCCATTGCCCTTGCACAGAATGCATGCTTGCATGGGCGCACCAAGCACATGCAAGTTCGGTGGCATTTCATCAGGGAGATGGTGGCGTGCGGCGAGGTGATCCTTTGGTGGTGCCCCACCAGCCGTCAGGCAGCGGATATACTCACCAAACCCCTCCCTTTTGAGCGGCATGGTGTGTGCATGTCCTTGATGGGGATGCAGCCCCATGTTAGCATGGTGCCTGAGCAGGATGTGGGAGGACTGGTGCTTCTCTGCCTTGACGACCTCATGCTGTGGATGGCGCCCCTCCCTGGGCAAGGGGGAGTGAAGTGAAGGATTTTGCCCAGTGGTGTTCAGCCACCTCCAGCACGAGCAAGGGGGAGTGTTGATTGTGTAGGTGGTTGTGGTATTTTGCTCTAGCTGGTTGTGGGCTAAGGGTTTGGGCAAAATGTGCTTGCTAGACTTGTTGCGGGCTGGAAGTGATCTCGCACCCAACAAGCACCAACAAACCTTTGCTATTCGCTACAACACCTTTGGTGTTGCTAGTTTAGCACTTTGGTTTGTTGGGGATTGTTGTAGGGCGAAGGTTGGGTTGGTAGGGTTTGAACAACTCGTCACCTTTTCAGATCTGAACTCTTGCTAAAGCTAGTCTCTTGATCTAATCCATGGCTGCCTATTAATTCCGCCAGAATACACCATCGCACTTAGATCGCGATAGCGATCGGCCTAGATCTTGGTTGAAAGCGTGCGTTACCATTCTGGAAATTAGAGATTAAGACCTTTCCAACGCGTACCTGCTCATAGTTTAAGGTTACGTGAGCTGCACGCAATGTTCCGTCGAAGTTGGCGGACTTAATCTCTTGTACGCTCTCCAGATTTGCTCGCTTTCCATCAGGAAGGACGCAGTGCCATCTGGTGCGTGCCTGGGACCGCAGGAGGATGCTGACGCGGAACACGACGACCGGTGCGAGCAGCACGAACAGGCAACGCCGGACGAGACTCAGGCTCACGAAGCTCAGCAAGACCTCCAGTAGGACCCGTGTAGGGAGAAGGAGCAGGCAGTGGGGAGGCCAGCTGTAACTGTGACTCGGACTGGACAGGCGGTGGACACTCTAAGGAAGGAGCAGGACCAGTAGAAGGCGGGAGACCAAGAACCTGCTGAAGGAGCGGAATGAAGTACGGCTGCGGCCGCGCAGCGCCTCCAAAACTAGCAGGGAAAGCACCAGCACCCCCAACGTTAGCACCAACGCCAGCAGCACCACCAGCTCTAGCAGCACCCCCAGTAGCTCCAGCAGCGCCAACTCCAGCACCCCCAGAAGGACCAGCTCCAGCAGCACCTCCAGCGCCAAGATCCCCAGCAGCGCCAGCTCCACCAGGACCCCCGGAAGAAGCAGCAGCACCAGCTCCAGTAGTACCTGTAGCAGCGCCTACGCCAGCAGCACCTCCAGCTCCAGCACCAGCATTACCACCAGGCCCAGCAGCTCCAGTACCGCTGGTACGAGCACCTCCGGGACCCGTGGCTCCAGAACCTCCAGCAGCCGTAGAACCTCCATCACCAGTAGCACCACCTGCCCCAGCAACACGACTCCAACGGCGAGCAAACCACTCATGCAGCTCCTGGGGAGACGGCAGCTCCCGTCGGGACAAAGCACCCGAAGGACCTCCAGGCCCAGTGCCACCAGGCTCCACTCGCGCAGGCCCAGCACCCTCAGGCTAAGCACCCCTAGACTCAGCAACCCCAGGCTCAGCACCCCCAGGCTCAGCACCCCCAGACTCCGCACCCCAAGGCTCAACACCCCCAGGCTCAGCACCCCCGGACTCAGCACCCCCAAGCTCAGCACCCCCAGACTCAGCACCCCCAGACTCAGCAACCCCAGACTCAGCACCCCCTGACCCAGCACCCCCAGGCTCCATACGCTCAGGCTCAGCACCCCCAGACCCGGCACCCGCAGGCTCAGCACCCCTACCAGCACCAGAGTCAACAACTACCTCGACAGGCTTGACTGCGTCTACCTGGGACACACCTGAGGGGGCAGGACCCTAAGGGGGGAGGGGGTCTACCGGGGGGGGCACTGGCAGGAGGAAGAGACAGTAGTAAGGAACCGACTCATCAAACGTGACGTCCTGAGAGGACAAAACACGTTGCGAGGTGGGGTGGTAAAACTGCCAACCAGGCGCGTCAGGGGGGAAGCCAAGGAAGGCGCAGGGAACAGCACGAGAGGACAGCTTGTCCGCAGACAAGTGTCGGACGAAAGCCCGAGATCCCCACACACGTAACGCACACGCATCGCCAACCTTCCCCGTTTACCGCACGGTGGGGGAGGTCTCCGGCAAGGAGACCCGGGGCTGAAGGTTGATCTGATGCGCCGCGTACTAAACCGCGAACGGCCACAGAAAATGGGGAGCAGCCGCATGGATCATGGACGTACGAGCGACGTCCATGACCATCCCATTTTGCTGTGGAGAGGCCGGAAGCATGAACGTCTGGCGGATGCCCCTCGCATGGCAGAAAGCTCGCAGAAGGTCGGAGGAAAACTCTCCACCTCTATCGGAGTGTAGACGGAGAACAGGAAAGTCCGAGCAGAAACTCTCTCTGAGCTGGAGACGAGCAGCGCGGATCCAGTCGATCAACATCTCAGTGATCTCACCCTTGGTGCGCAAGGGGAAGACTGCGGTGTCACGCGAGTAGTCGTCAACCACCAAGCGGAAGTAACGCTCGTGACCCTGTCCACGGTCGCGGCCTGGGCCCCATACGTCCATGTGAAGAGCAGAAACCAGAGACAAGGTAACGGGAGACCATGCCTCGGAGACGAGGCAGGGAGGGGTGACCAAGGCGGTGGTGCCAGAGGAGGATCCGGTGGGACAGGAGGCGACACGAGCAGGGGGCAGACTCAGGACCAGACCTGGACGCTGCAGCAAACATCTGTCCCGACGCAGCTACCTGACCAGACGCTGTAACCGGAGGAAACTCGGTAGTTAGTGTGTACAGGCTCGACCCCGGCTGACGGGTAAACGTGGCCAAGTGTCGGCCCCTCCAAGCACACGTGCAGTGGGTCACCCGCTAACTCGCAGGAGTGAACTGGTCAACTCCCCCATCCTGCAGGTCAGCACCACTCACCAAGTTCGTAGAGAATGAGGGGAGGTAAAGACGTGAGAGGGAGCCAGACAGGGCCGCTGGGCACGGTAGTATAGTGGAGAAGTGAGCAAGGACAGGACCCCCAAAAGGGTCTGCCAGGGAGACCGCAACCGGCCGACTGAGCGGCGTGAGGGTGGTGCGGTCTCGAAAGTAGGAGCGAGAAGCACCCGAGTCAAGGGTGAAGGTGTGCAAAGCCTGACCAGACGTGGTACCTGAGAGAGCAGACTCACCAGTACATGGAGCAACAGACTCACTAGTACTTGGAGCAGCAGACTCGCGAGCACCTAGAGCAGCAGCTGCAATGCTCGGGTCAGGCGGAACACACAGGTAACAATCACCCTCCTCACTAGTAGATACAACATACATTGCAGCAAGAATAGCATCATAGTCAAGATCAAAGATAGCTACAACAGACTTGAGCAAGTCACCCCAGCGAGGGATCTTAGAGACCTCAGGGAACTGGAGACGCCAGGCGCCAGTCAGGCGGCCAAAGCAGCGCTGGGTGGTGTGCTGCCCGCCGCACGGCTCCCCAGTGCGGTCACCAGTGCGCAGGCCGTAGGCATAGGGACCAACACCCCCAGACCGCTGACGCGCAGCGTACCACTCACGAAGCTGCTGGGGCGGCGGGGTCTCATGAGAGCGCTGCTGCTGCGAACGCTGGCCACCACTGAAGCCTCCCCGCGGCACATAGCCACCTCGACCAGCGCCACCGCCACCGCCGCCACCGCCGCCTCCTCCACTCCCACCGCCACTGCCGCCGCCGCCTCCGCCACCGCCACTAGAGCCCCCACCCCCGCCACCACTCCCACTGCCACCCCCACCCCCTCCGCCGCCCCCACCGCCCCCGCTCGCTCCCCCAACACCCTTGCCCTCCTTGCCCTTGCCATTGCGGTGCATCCCGCTAGGGGCAGACGCTGCGCCGACCAACTCGGTGCCAACGAGGTCGACAGCAGCAGAATCGGCAATAGAGGGCAAAAGGGGGACCGGGGAACACCCCTCAAAGAATGGGGCACGAGGGTCACCACGAGAGGCTCCTATAGCAACTATACTCTTCTCACCTGCCAGGAGGCGCTCCTCGAGGAGGACAACGGTGAGTGTGGTGGGCCAAACAGAGAGGAAGTGGTCCCTGACCGAGCGAAGGGAGTCAGGGAGCCGGGTGACTATGAAGTAGAGGGTGATGTACATGGGGGGGGAGTGGTTCTTGGCGCAGAACTCAGCAGGATGGGCACCGCGGTAGCGGGTGTCACTAGTGCGGAAGTGCGTAATGAGGTCAGCGACTGTGGGAAAGGCGGCGAGGTCAGGGAACAGGTACGGCAGTATGAGGCGACTAAGGGCAGCAGTGGTAGGGGAGGAGTAGCGTGCAACTACAGCGTTGTACAAGGTCTTAGCAGTCTTGTACTGGCTAAAATGCGCGCGCTCAGTGGACGGCAGGTGACTACGCACAGCAAGACGAGCAGGCGCATCGCGTGTGGTCCACTGTGAGCAAACAGTACTGTTAGCACCGGCAGCAGGGGCAGTAGAGGCGCCAGACGTGAGATCGAAAAGCGAGAGGTCGTGTTTGCTATCGCACTGCAGGAAAAGCTGCAGATCATCTACCCAGACCTCAAAGTCTACCGCTCGACCCTCAGGATCAAAGGTAAGAACGTTGGGACTAGCCATGACAGCAGCACCAGCAGGCTAGCAGCACCAACAGCAGAAGCAGGTTAGCAGTAGCAGCAGGAGGAGGGGCGCGGCTCGGCGGTGCCCTTACCAGGAGCGGGTGGGTAGAAGCCCGCAAGTGGTGGGGCAGGGCCGAGGTGCGCCGGCAGGAACAAGGCCGCGATAGGGCGGCAGAGGAGGGCCGCGACTCGGCTACAGGGTAGGGCCGGAACGGCGGCGTGAGCTGTCACGGCAGTGGCAGCGACGGTTGTCTGAGGAGCAGCGGCGACGGCTGTCACGGCAGCAGCGGCGGCGGCGAACGGCCGTGGCGGAAGCGGCAACGGCAGAAGGCATGACGGTAGCTGCTGCTGGGGTGGCGACGACGGGGCGGCAGGGCCGCGAAGAGTTGTAGAGGGGCCGCGAAGGGGCCGCGAAGAGCCGCGAAGGGGCCGCGGAGGGGCCGTGAAGGGGCCTCGAAGGGCCGCAAAGGGCCGCGTGGCCGCAAAGAGCCGCGAAGGGGCCGCAAGGGGCCGCGAAGGGGCCGCGAAGGGCCGTGAGGGGGGTCACGAAGGGCCGCGAAGGGCTGAAAGAGGGGCCGCGAAGGGCCGAGAAGGGGCCGCAAAGGGGCCTTAAGGGGCGCGACGGGCCGCTAAGGGCAGGGGACGCGACGGGAGGGCAGGCGCACGGGGCGCGACTAGGGCAGGCACGAAGCGCGCTCCGGGCAGGTAAGGAAAAAAATTTGCGTAATAGTGGTGGGCCCTAGAAAACGTTCCCACTAGGGAACCTGCTCTATACCATGTGAGAATAACGAGGAATGAGTTGACTAGGAAACATGTGGGTACAAGTAGGAAACCTAGAAGAGTTGTATCCTATAATGTCTACCCCACTACAGCCTAGATTGATTATAGCATATAAGTTTGACATTTCTCATGCCACCCAGCTTTGAGGGGGGGACGTGTGAGAGTACGATGGCTTATGTTGGCTTTGGTAGCTTGCCTGGACACTATTATGCTATATCTAGCTTGGGTTTATTTTATCATGCATAGATATGCTTGAATTTCTAGGTTAGGTGCATTCCTATATTATATTATAGTTATAGCACCGAACCACATTACGTGTACCAAACTCAAGCGTATTGGGTTCCCACCAAATTACTTTCTACTGGTCCAGGAAGGTTCTGTTTGGGATGCTTTGCCACCCTCAAAACATTCGCGTAACACCTGGGTAACTGGCCTTGTGTTGAGACCATATATAGCCTCGTGTTGTACCCAGGTGATTCATTCAATTCAAACTCTCTTTTCTGAGCTCAATCATAGATCCTCACAACCCGTGTCTTATAAAATGTAGCTATTTGTTTAGATCCTTCCCCTCCCCCCCCAATTTTGGGGTGAGATTCTTATGATACCTCCGGGTCTTATGGCCGGGGTATCACGGTACAGGGGAAGTTGCCTCCGACCATTGAGCACGTCAATTACAATTTGATTAGCCAGCGCACTCTTGATTATACCGTCCTGTTGGGCTGCAAAAAGCCCTTAGGATCGTTTCAAGACTAAAGCTCGATGTAATGATGTAATTGCGGAAGCGTTGTACTAAACTGGTTGAACCACCTTGCACCAGTGTGTGAGAGCAAGATAGATTGATTATAGCAAAGCAATACAAGGCCTTTCACATGATTACAGAGAATATGAAAAGACATAACTAACTGTTTTTGTTGCTGTCGCGATTCGATATAGCCGCGACTCGGGCAACTGCTCAATAACAAGTCAGTTGTGTGTCCTTGCTGTCGTGCTGCCTTTTGGCGAGTCAAAGTTCGCTGACCTTTGACCTTCGCTTAACCTCCTGCTGTTACATTTTGTCACTAACCCTAATTGGGTTGTACCCCATATAGGCGACCCCACTACAGCCTACACAACATAAGCATCATTATAGTTTGACACCAGTTTTGTGGTAGGATAAGCCGATCGTGTCAGTAGATCTGCACTGTGGATGCCCGATTGATCCTGGAGAGGGTTACAGGCGCGTTCGCGTGGGGGGTTATGGGCGCACTGACCTGCTACCGAAACAAGCCCTTTTATCCCAATGGTCTAGTGTTGGGATTCTGACATGGTATCAGAGCGGTCTCGGGTTCGATTCGCGGTGTATGCACATGTAGGCCGTTGCCGCTGTGCTTAGTCCTGGGCCTCCCAGTATGGGGGGGTGTCAGTAGATCTGCACTGTGGATGCCCGATTGATCCTGGAGAGGGTTACAGTCACGTTCGCCTGGGGGGTTATGGGCGCACTGACCCGCTACCGAAACAAGCCCTTTTATCCCAATGGTCTAGTGGTTGGGATTCTGACAGGTCGTTGGTGTGTTTATGAGGTAGTGCAGTGCGCGATCGATTTCTGCCATGTGCTCTGCTCTGGGCTTCTTAAGATAGGTGGCGAGTTGACTCGCTTAGTATGACAGGTTCGGTCGGCAGGTGACGGCTGCGAAGAGTAGGCAACCCAGCTTTCGCTGATAGTCGTGTATGCTGACAAATCCGAGCGGAGCGGAGGCTTCTTTGTGGTTTCCGACGATGTAGCGGTACTGCGTGGAGATGGCAGCTGGGGTTAGTCCGAAGCGCTTTGCGATAGTGTTGGCGTATTTTGCGGCGCTGAGGTAGATCGCGTTCTCCCCGTCTTGTATGTTGAGTCCCAAGTACTGCGTTGCGGTAGTGGAAACGGTGAGTGGGAGGTCCCGCCGCAGCTACCCTTCGAACCAAATCGTGATGCTGTCGGTGGAGCCTAGGTGGAGTAGGTTGTCTACATAGAGAATGAGTAGGATGTATTCAACAACTTTTGTGGGTCAGTAAATCCCTTGGTCATGTGGCAGTTGCCGGAAGCTGATGCGGATAAGTCGGACGTGTAGATACTGCAGCCACAGTGGCGGAGCTTGCTTGATGCCGTTCAGGGACTCTAGCAGCTAACAGACTTGATTAGGGTCTGTGTCGGATCTGTCTGGTCGTTCGACGAAAATCTCGGCGTTGACGAGAGCGTAGAGAAATGCGTTAGCCACGTCGATTTGGCGAAGTTTCTTCCACTTCATGGCGGCTATCGTGAGGAGGATCCGCAGGGAGGTGTGTTGACTGACAGGTGCAAAGGTCTCGTTAAAGTCTCATCTGTGTTCTTGGTCTAAGCCACGCACGACCCATCATGCTTTGAACTTGTCAATCGTTTCGTCTGCTTTTGTTTTCACACGGAAGACCCATTTTCCGGTGAGTATGGTCTTGTTGCGTGCCACTCCGATGGGTACTATCTTCTAGGTGTTGCGTTCTTCCAACACCTTAAATTCTCTGCCCATGGCTTCGCGCCATTTTTCCCTGTGCTCCCCCACCAGAGCCTGCTGAACTGTAGTAGGCTCCTTTGGCGGCGATGCTCCGTGGACGGCGGTGACGAGTATCTGCAATCTACTCTGCGAGAGTCGGGGGAGATTTGGGTCCTCGAGATAAACTGCTTTCGTCTCCCGCTTCTGGATCAGGTAAGAAATTGGGTCCTATACGTTCAAAGATGGTGTTGATTGCTTGGGGTATAACGTAGCCGTTGTCAACGAAGTGGTAGTAGACTTCGGCGTTGATGCTTTCACGAGGGTTATCGTCGTCCATCGGGATGTCGACCGAGCAGTAGGGAAGAGGTCTGGCTTCTTTCGATGCTCTGTCCACGTTTTGCTCGTCCCACGCAGCATCATCTGCTGCCGAAGAAAAGGCTCGGTCACGATGAAATCCGCCCGTGGGGTCTCGTTTTTCTTCCAGGTTGTCCAGGTGCGTTTGAAGGGTGAGTTGTTCGTAGAAAATCACATCACCTGCTGCCACTATTTCTTTTGTGTAAACGTCGAAAATCTTCCACGCGTTGTAGTGTTTTTCGATGCCCACGTGTAGTCCCCACTGTATGCGTTGGGAGAATCGGCCGGCTCGTGCAGTTGGGGGTTGGTACTGTACCATGCAGCCGAACACTCGTAACATTTTTTCGATGATGATGATGAGAGCAAGTTGTGCAGTAGCACAGCATTGTCCATTGCCTCGAGCCACTAGTGGTTGGGTATTCGCATGCCACGTAGCAGCTTTTGCATGGTGTTCTGGAGGGTCGTGTTCATTCTTTCTGCCACACCTCACTATTGATGAGCGTACGGAAGAGAGGAAGAATGACTTGACAACAGTACCCCTGAGTGACCACACATTCGTTCGGCATTCCACTGCCGCCCCTCGACACAGGGAAGACAAGGAGGAGCAAGGGAGGGTGGGAGGGGAGGGAGTACCCGAGGAAGACCAGAGACAAGGTACCGGGCGTGCATGCCCCGAAGGCGTTGCACTGACGGGTGACCAAGTCGGTGGTGCCAGAGGACAGTCTTGTGCGCTAGAGAGCGACACGAGCAGGGGGCAAACAGCTGACCTGACGCAGACGCAGACGCAGACGCCGCTACCTGAGGGGACTCAGTGGTCAGTGTGTACAGGTCCGACCCCGGCTGCCGAGTGAAGGTAGCCAGGTGACGGCCCGTCCGAGCACACGTGCAGTGTGTCACGCGCTCGTAGGCAGGGGTGAACTGGTGAACACCCCCATCCTGAAGCGCACAACCCGCCACCAAGTTCGTAGAGAACGAGGGGAGATGAAGACCTGACAGTGTGCCCGACGGGACAGCAGGACAAGGAAGGAGGGTGGAGGAGGTCGCAATAACCGGACCCCCAGAGGGGTCAGCGAGCGAGACAGCGACTGGTCGAGCAAGGGGCTCAAGAGCAGTGCGGTCACGAAAGAAACAGCGCGAAGCGCCTGAGTCTAGAGTGAAGGTGTGCAGTGCCTCAGTGGACTCAGTAGTACCTGGGGTGGCGGACACAGAAGCACCTAGAGCAGTAGCCTCACCAGTACCTGGGGTAGCAGACACGCAAGCACCTAGGGCGGCAGCCTCACTCGTGCGGATGCCTGGGTCAGGCGGAACACTCAGGTACTGGTCCTCCTCTCCACTAATAGTCAATGCATACATTGCTTTGAGAATAACATCAAAATCAAGAGCA